AAAAGTCAAAAGTCCTTACAATGGCCTTTAACATCCTATGTGAGCTTTCATTCTGTTAACTCTGTGACATCATCTCCTAACTCCTTCTCTTCCTCTGCTCTATCCCCCTGGCCTCTTTGATGTTCCTTAATCAAGACAAATCCTTTACCAGATCAGAACCTTTGCCCTTGATCTTCCCTCTGCCCGGGACGCTATTACCCAGATAGCTGCATGGTTTGCTATCTCACCTCTTCTCCATCTTTGCTCAAATGATCACTGCCTCAGTAAGCTCTTCTCTACTCACCTACCTAAAAACGTAGCTTCCATTTCCCACCCTAAAACCCCTGCTTTTTTTCCCTTAATATCCAACAAATCACAAATTTTTGCTCTCTTTTTATATTGTCTACCATCTGTCCCTCCAGAACGTAAGCTCCAGGAAGTCAGGAATTTTTGCTAGTTTTGTTCATTGCCAAATCCCTAAGCCCCTAAAAGAATACACAGTAAGTGTTCCATAATATTCTATCAATAATTAAAAATTACGTAAATATTCAAAGTATATTCAAAAAATATATCCACTTGTTATCAACAAAATAATGACTGGATATATATTTTTAAATCCTTATCTGTGCACAAAATATTCCTTTTTCAAGCACCCGTGGAAAAATTATAAAAACTAAACATATACTAGAACACAAAGAAAATCTTAATAAACTCAAACAATAAATAATACCAGCTAATTTCTCCAGAATAGTGAAATGAGACTTTAACAAACAAGAACAAAAAAAACAAAACACAACTTCTTAGAATAACAGCCACAATTGGGTATTTAACATACACCAGATATTAAACTAAGCAAGGAACATATATTCATCCTTATATCAACTTACGGGACTGTAATGGACATTACCATTTTACAGATAGGAAAACTGAAGTTAAGAACACTGAAATTTCTTACTCAAGATAACATAACTAGTAAGTAATAGGGCTGAATTCAATTCCAGGTCCCTGAATCTGGAGACCAAGCTTTTGACTAATGCACTCTTTTAAGTAACTGCTGGATCAAAGAAAAATCACTATAATTTAGAGTATACTACAATGACACCACATAGCAAAACCTATAAAATGAAGTTAAAACTATACTCAGGAAAAAACATTACTTTTTCTTTATCAAATAAAAAGGAGAAAAACATACAAAGTACTCAAGTTAAAAGAGAAAAATAAAATAAATCTAAAGATGGGGAAAAAAGAATTTAAAAGGATAAAGAATTAGTGAATTAGGAAATAAAAAACAGTATAACAGATTATCTCCAAGCTCACACCTTTTAGGATTATAAAATTCTCCATTAAGAAGCATTTTAAAAACTCAGTGTAGAAAGTTTCAAA